TATTCTATCTTATTTCTTATTCTTATTATGTATTGTTATTTTTCTATCTTGTTTTTATTATGTCATTATCATTCTGTAACTATTAAATCATTTCTTTTTCTTGATCTTGTCTCTTTCTTATTTTCATCCTGATTCTTCTCTTTTCTTATTTTCTTTGTATTATTGAATTGTATTGATTATCTCGGTTATTTATTGTCTTTTATCTTCTTTCTTATTTTCTTTATTTTTCATTTCGTTGCTTATTCATTTCTTTTTGTTAAAACTCTTCATCTTCATCACTTCATTTCTTCATTATTTAAATATCTTTTCTGTTTATTTGTATGTTGAAGTTCTTTGTTGATTTACTATATGGAGAATGACATTTCCATTCTTCTTTTTATGATTTATCAATTCTATCTTCCCAAAAAAAAACAAAACAAAAAATTATCAATGACTTTATTTTTGTGCAAAGAATTTCTCTATCTTCTCTTTCTGAATTTGAATCTCTTCTTTGTCATTGGATTTCTTCTCGATTTGTGCTTTGCATTCACACTTGTTTCCATTTGAAAGTCTTCCACCAACAGTAATTGTGCCATCTTCTTCAACTTGTACTACAAACATAACATATCTTTCTTCTTTTGGAATATTACTAATAACATATCGTCCTAATGATTTATCTCCTTCAAATAGTTCTATTTGTACTTCCCGTCCTGTAACCTCAACATATATTTCATGTTCATATGGAATTTCTGTGCCATCTTCAATAATAGTGAAATTCCCATCAACTCCTGCCATCTTGATGGGATGTGCTGTAACTTCTGTAATACTTTTAATCATTCCTTTCGAATGCTCAAATGCATATCGTGCTGCTCCTTGTGATACAACTAAGTTACAATCTATATTATCATTGATATGTGACGATTTAAACTTCTTGTTTAATAACTCTTTGATTTTAGGAATTTGTGAACATCCTCCAACAAGCATAACTTCATCAATCTGTGTTGTTTTAATTCCTTTCTTTTGCATTATCTCATCTATGCATTCCATACATCTATCAAATTCTTTTTTATTACATTCTTCAAACTCACTTCTATCAATAGAAATAATAAATTCATCTTCATCAACTAATTCAGATAAGTCTATTTCACAATATGAATTGGATGATAATTCAATCTTTGCTTTTTCAACCTCTTTTCTTAATAGATATCTTCGTTGTTTCTTCATTTTCTTTTGTGAATGACTGTCACTTCCTTTCAAAATAAATCTTTGTGCTTTTGTCTCATCAATTTCTTTCATTTTACTTATAACAAATTCCATTAAATTCATATCAAAATCTAATCCTCCTAAATGAACATCACCACCAATAGCTCTAAACTTAAATTCTTCTCCTTTCTTTTCTAATATAGTAACATCAAGTGTTCCTCCTCCAAGATCAAATACAAGATACATTTGATCTTTTGTACTTTCTAATCCATATGCATATGCAGCTGCTGATGGCTCTGCCAACAATCGAATTAAACTAAACCCTGCCATTAATACTGCTTTTTTGGTTCGATCTTTTTGTGAATTGTCAAAGTATGCTGGAACTGTAACAACAGCTCTTAAACTTATATTGTCTTTAATATTTAATCTTCGTTGAATTTCAATTTCAATTGCTTTTAAAACAATCGCCGAAACAACCTCTGGCTCAACTTGTTCTTCTTCTTCTTCTTTATCAGGATAGTCAACCACAATCTGACAATACCCATCATCCCCTTTAACGATTTGATATGGGAAATAGTTTTTATTAATATCTTCTTGCACTTGTTCATCATCAAATTTCTTTCCAATAAACCTTTTTACTTCACAAATGGCAGTAGGCTTTGGAATTCCAACACTAACAGGTTGAGTGAAAAAATCAACAGTTGACGGAATTGTTGAATTTCCATTTAAGTAGTAGATACATTCATATTTGTTTGTCTGAGTATTAAAGAAATGACAACAACAAAATGTTGTTCCTAAGTCAATACCAACAAATATCTCTTCTTGCATTAGACTTAATTAATTGATTAACAAGATGATTTTTCTTCCTTTAAATCTTAACAAATAAACATCATTCCAAAAAATTTATCAAAAAAATAATACAGTTATAAGTCAATTCGTTATGTTTATTATCATAATTAAACCAATATGAAATAATAATAATAATAATAAGAGTTTTTTGTTTGTTGTGAACACCAAAATTAGCAAAGAAATAATGCATCTAAATAATTTACAAAAAAGAAAAAAAGATGCAAAATAATTTGCATCCATAGATTTTTCCATTTATTATATTTTGCTCATAAAATAAAAATAAATAAAAAATAAAAA